AACTAATAAAAATGACAAACGCATATAACAAAATAACAAAAATAAATCATAATTTAAAGTATTAACAAATATATTAATAGTATATAAATAATACTAAAATAACACTTTAAATTAATTTGAGTTTCAGTGTTTTTTAAGGTCATACACAGAATCAAGAAGCTCACCTTTGTCATTAGAAACCACTTGTGTGAGACTAAAGTCTTGGCAGTTCATCTCCTCCAAGTTGTGTTTCTCCAGAGCTCTCTGAATCACCTGAGCTGTCTTGTCCTGACTGGTTATCTAAAAATAAAGAAATGATAAAGTTTCAAGACTTTAGATTTGCTGGGGTTGACAACTGAGTAGAAAGCCACAGACTCATTGCCATTAGAAAGATGTAAAATAAAAATAAAAAAAAAGACATGAAGCATGAACACCACAGAAATCACCAAATATTAAAGCCAACTTACCAAAATACTTTTATAAATATTTCCGTTGTTGCCAAATTCCACACTGACTCTGACAATACAAGAATCGGCGACCTGCTTGTTGTACATGGGATGTTTGAGAGAAGGAGAGGATGATGAAGATGATGCAGATGAAGTAGGGGAGGGGCTGTCGGGGTTCAGGGCAGACAGATCCGTCTGTAGGCATCTTCGAAAAGAGCTGGGCGGAGTCGGAGAGGAGCTGGGTGTGTCTACTGAGGTGTCCTGACAGGATACGGATGGTGACTGTGAATGAGGGAATGGAGAAAGACTATTTACCTCAACAAACCTAATTATCTGTAAGAATTCTGTTAAGAGCATAGCACAGGTTTTTCATATATAATTTAAGTGGCAACTGACCATATGAAGTGTATCAGATAGCTTAATCTTTCATAAGTATATTTCTTTTAGGTGTTCAGCAACACAGATTGCAAGCAATAAATACTTTGGTAAATGATGTGTCGAATGTAAAACATCACAGACTGGCGGTATTGTTATCTAATACACTGTGTTCTGTCAACTTAACTGAAGCTCTGTGTTGATTGTGCAAACATGAACTACTTTGTGACTGCAAGGTTAAGGTGAAACAAACAAGTCACAAACAACCGAATGGATTTTAATAACCCAAAGGCCTCAGTAAAAACAAATAGTCAAAATAGGTTTAGAGATAATATTAGACCTGTCAGATTTAGGCCTACTGATTTAGTACAATTGATTACAAATTAATAATGCAATAAACAAAAGTAACATTTAATTAAACCCGCTGCCCCGCATGCACTGAAAGACACTGAAAACTCAGCAAGATGTCATGCAACAGCTAAAGACTGACTAAAGTCTGACGCAGGTGTACATCAGTGTTATTTTAGTATTATTTATATACTATTACAGTATTTATTAATATTTTTAATTAACTTTTATTTTTATATTTTCAATTTTCATTTTAATTTTAGTTTTAAGTTTTAGCAATTTTGCTTGTCATTTTTTTTATATTTCTATATAGCCTTATTTCAGTTTTAGTACTTAAAAGTACTTTTTAGTACTTTAATACAAAAACATGAACAAATGAAATTATGTTTTTAAGTTCTTCATCAAATATTACATGTATTTATTATTTTTTTTTTTTTGCTTAATTTCAATTACCAAAATACATTTTTTTTACAGTTTTAGTAAATAATAGCAACACTGAATCTGAGAATGAAGTCTGTGTGAACAGCTCCTACATCTACGTCAGACATATTGACAAAATCAAAATGATTGCAAATTGGACTTATGGACAATATGGAAATAAAACCATAAATATACTGACATTTTTTGTCAATTGTTTTGCTTTATATAATGTAATGTCTCAGCAAATATAAGTCATTATATTCTGCTGATGGATTCATCATATCATAATTAATTTGAATAAATACTTTATTCGATTGACAGCCTAAACTTTTTTTAAAAGAACAAAATATTGTAACATCTATAGAGTATATGAGGTAGTAAATAACAAAAAGTCTGCAGCTCTGGTCTACAGTTTTGTTACCTGTATTTTGTATCTAAGTAGTGAGAGGTTGGGGCTGCTGAGATCTTCCATCTCTGAGCCACTGGAGCCAGAGGATGATACACTGATCTGATCAGCAAAAGTCTTCTTTGAGAGGTTCTCATTGCCAGACAGCAATCTGCAGCGAGCAGAAGAGAAACATATGTAACAGAAACACAAGTTAGCAAAATGTCTTTTTACTTTTAGAATAGTCTGGGTGCACAAATTGCTTTGAAACTGCATCTCAAAACAACACTCACGAGGTCAGTTTCTTGGTGATGAGCCGGTGGCTCCAGGGGTTGGGAGAGCTGGGACAGGGGTCAACTGGTGGCTCCAGTTCTCTTGACAACTCATAGCTAATGAGAAAGAAAGACTAACAGTTGATATCTAAATATCTGAGATGCTGATCTTCTGAAGTTCCCAAAGTACCACTGCCATGAATTCATATTTCTTTTCATTTCAACCAACATTGTTAGCAGGAAATTGATCAAACTGAATATAATCATCAAAATGTGCAAGAGGTGCCTCACCTCTTCTGATCAGAAAGAGGTATGCTGCTGTTGATCCAGGAAATGATGCAAGGATGTGATTGGAGATTGTACTGAGCACATGACGCCTGCAGCTGCCTGATCTGAGACAGAATCTCAAACTCCTGAACACAGAAAGGAATGGAGAAACACACGTCAGCACTCTTGACACACTAGCATTTGGTATAAAACCTAGTGAGCTTCTTTTCAGTGAAACAATATGAAGGCTACAGTGATTGTACTAACTTTTCTGCGCTTCTCAAAGTTGATGAGACCCCCCTGTGAGCACAAAGAAGAGAGTTTATCATTTAAACAAAGAAACGTCAGTGTGGTAACTGAAAAAAATAAAACAACTACTATGTACAGTATATGACATGAATTAAGGTCAGAAAAAAATTCTCACCTCTACATTGTCACTTAGTGCTGTGTCCAACATGGTGAGAACGGTCAGATAAGTGCCCAGGTACGGCACCTCACCACTGGAGGGGGTCTGTCAGAAAAACAAACTTGTCAGGCAAAAATACAGTAACAGTTTGGGGTCGGTCGAGATTTTTTAATGTTTTTGTCTCTTATGCTCACCAAGGCTGAATTTACATGATTAAAAAAAATACAGTAAAATCAGTCATATTGTTAAATATTATTACAATTTAAAAGAACGGTTCTCTATTCTAATATATTTTTAAATGTAATTTGTTCATGTGATGGCATTGTTCATATGATCCGTTACTCCAGTCTTCCGTATGCCGATGTGGTGCTCAAGAACTGTGTTGGGCAAATTACTCCGAAAATGTAATCAAATTACTGATTACTGATTACTCATTTTAAAAGTAATCACGTTACTGTTCTGATTACTTTATTTTAAAAGTAATTAGTTACATTACTAGTTACGTTACTTTTTTCTCCATGAAGTTTATGAAATCCCAGCAGATGAATAACAATTTATTTGGTTTAGATATTTTATGTTTAGATAGTTCTATTTTGTGGGAGTCCCGTGAATCATTGTATTCTCCCGCATCCCGCACACACACGAGTCTCTGCACTCGCCTATCAAGTCTTGTCCCGTGCCGCACTCTGTCTCGCGGGAGCATGTCTCTAATCAACTGGCACTTGACTCAACAGTGCGTGTGCTACATCCTTTTTACAATCTCCAGATTATAAAACACTGCATTCTGTCAGCAATGTAACGCGGCAGTAACGTATAGAGACCTCGGCTTGTAACTATAAGCTATAACTTATAGTTACAGTTATAACGGCTTGTAACTATAACTCTAATTACTATTTAACGCGTTAAATTACTCCGTTACTAAAAAAGTAATCAAATTACAGTAACGCATTACTAAGTAATGCGTTACTGCCCAACACTGCTCAAGAAACATTTCTTATTATGAATGTTGTTTCTAATTATTGTCAATATTTGTGGAAATGTGATGAATTTTTTCATGATTTTTTTGATACATTGAAATCTCAAAAGAACAGCATTAATTTGAAATAGAATAATTTGAAAGTTTTTATTGTCACTTTTGGTCAACATAATGCATCCTTGCTGAATAAAAGTATTCATTTCTTTCAAAAAAATGTACTGACTTTTGAACAGAAATATATATTTCAACTGAAACACAAAATCCACACACATACTTCAATCAAAAGCTTCCTCTTTTAAGCACACACATCTTTTCCACACAAAAAGCTAAAAGTGATTTATGCTGAGCATAAATATCTCAGTTAGAGGAACATGCTGTTGATGCATCTTTACTGGTGATACAAGCAACCCCATCATACTGTGTCAGCTAGCATTATGGTAATACCCTTTTGGGTCTTTTAATTAATGAGTTGGCAGATTCAGATTTAGACAGATTTTCATATCGAAAATGAAATTACTTGAGTCAAACTAGACCAGTAAGCAAATGAGCCAGTGCAGTTGCATACTTCCCAAAAAGGGCAGTTATTTCCCAGAAACAACAGCTTAATCATATTTTTAAAAGCAATTTATGACAGTGGCCTTAAATAAGCCAAATGTACTACTTTCAGCAGGGCCTTGTTATTATGACAAATAATAGTGAATCTTACCATGTGTTTAGATGTAGGACTGAGTCTGGGAGACTTAGAAGCGGTGTGAGTGTCTACATCAGCTGCCTGGTTTCCTTCCTAAATCAATCACAAAAAATAGATAACATGACATTTGGCATACTAAAATGCAAACAGTGAAACTGATTTAGATAAACATGTGATTGAATACAGAGTATTAGATACACTGAAATAACTGTCCTAGAGAAACATTTACATAAATCACTTTAGAAAACATTCAAAATCAATCTCCCACACCCAAAGTAATGCCACAATTCAAGATAAGTACAATTACTTAACAGAACATAATAAAAGATTGAGGAAGGAGGAATGGGAGAGACTATTATTATGAGCCGGCACAGATAAAAACAATGAATGTTTTGTTGTTATACACTGGATACTAAACACTGCAGGACATTACGGGATGTTGTGCCTCCATAATGGTTTCCTTGCCAACAAGATGATTCATTTTTTAACCTCAGCCCTACTGACTTACTCTTTGTATGTGAGCTAAAGTGAAATAGGGTGTGGAAAATATTGAATGTTGCCTGGTAGTGTCTTTTAAGATAGTAAAAAGGACATAAAAGCAGCCATGGGATGAGATAATGTCATGATCTTATCAGAGATTCAACACTGCTATCGGCGCTTACATATAATGTTAAAACATTAGAGGCATCTGTTTGCACATTGCAGGCCAAAGTGTTAGATATTGATGGAAGTTTTTTTCTTTTGAAAGAAAAATACTTTTATTCCGCAAGGAGGTCTTAAATTGGTCAAAAGTGATAGTAAAGATATTTATAATGTTATAAAGTTGCAATGTTTCTATTTCAGATAAATGCTTTTCTTTTGAACTTTCTATTAATCAAAGAATCCTGAAAAAAAAAATTTTTTTATAACTTTTACTAAATTACATTTTGAAATATATTCAAATCAACAGCATTTTAAATTGTAATAATATTTCACAATTATACTGTATTTTTTATTACATAAATGCAGTCTAAGGGTGCTTTCACACTTGGTTCGCTTGCCTGGTCCGAACCAGAGTTCGATTGCTCCCCCCTCCCCCTGTCGGACTGCGTTCATATTATTTTATTTGGGTCCGAACCGCGGTTCGTTGGGGTCAACAAGCCAGCAGCTGTTTACCCCGTTGCTTAGTAACGACGGCGCAGGAGAAGGCGGCAAATGCATAACATTGCTCTCTGCACTTTTATATATTTACGTTTTTGAACCGTTCGTTTTGTTTACAAAGCTTCGGTACATAACGGCACTTACGTCTGTCTTACGAATGTACTGCAAATGCTCTAAAGAAAGCTGAAGGCGAACAGAAATGAGATATACAGCTCTCTGCTTGCAGCGCGTCAGTCACGCTCGTCAGGAAAGTGAGTGAAACACACACAAACACACATTTTTATCAAATAATATGTCATTAAAAGCGGTTCACTTCCGCGATTTGGTACGATTGCGTTCACATCAACAGCGAACCGTACCGGAGTTCACATGAACCGTACCCCAGACCACCCTTTTTAAGCGGACTTGGGTATGGTTCGGGGGTGTGCACCCGAGTTCGGAAGACAGCATTCACATCATCCAAACGAACCGAATTCTGACATCAATCGAACCAGGGTGCGCACCAAAAGTGCTAGTGTGAAAGCACCCTTAAGGCCCGTTCACACCAAGGACGATAACTATAAAGATAACGATAAAGATATAGTTCTAAAAATCGTTCTCAATATTAAAGAATAGCAGAGTCCACACCACAACTATAACGATAAAGACAAAGAGAAACGATATCGTTGGAATCACTTTCAAAACGATTTTTCTCCAGCTGATGAACGATAAAAAATTGAAAGCCAATCAGAATCCATCCTGCTGTAACGAGCTCAAAAATTTAAAGCGGCAGAGGCGCGTGCGCTTAGAATAAACAGACGATATTGTTCGCTGGTGTGGACGCTAATATCGTTATCTTTATAGTTATCTTTATAGTTATCGTTCTTGGTGTGAACGGGGCTTAAGGGTGTATTCACACCAGGAAAGTCTGCTAGTTCACTTGCTTTGGTCCGGACCAAATACAATGTTGATTATTTTTGTTTGGTGCGGTTCGCTTTCACATTGCCCTTTTAGCAAGTAAACCAGAAACTGTAAACAAAATCACTCGTGTGCTTAAGGTCATCCATTCATTGGTTCATTCATTAAACCGTACCAGAGTTCATTTGGAAGCGGACCGAGACCACCTCTTCAGCTGGGTCTCGGTACGGTTGTTTGGTGCGCACCAGAGCGCGATTGCTGTATTCACACCTGCCCAAAAGATCCGCACCAAAGGGGGAAACGAACTTGAGTTCGATTCAATCGAACCAAACAAGACAGGTGTGAATACACCCTTAGTGGGCATAAGAGACTTCTATCAAAAACATTAAAATCTTACTGACCCCAAACTTGAATAAAAGTGTACATGTAAAATTTTAGATTAGAATAGACAACAGGTTTAAAACATGCAGGCAAATCTGTGAAGCATACCTCTACAAGTATCTCTCGATTGACCAGCACACAGTTCTCATCAGGAAATGTGTCGCACAGGAGATCGAAGGCAGCCATACTCTCCCTGAAATTACATATATTATCCATTTAAATTTAATACCATGTGTTGTGCAAATTTAATATGTGCACTTAACATTGCACTACAGGTTTAGCAACTATTCATGTCAGGATCAGAAAGCATTACCTGCTGATTGCCGACCAGGTTTTCTTTAGCCGGTAAACAGCATTGCACTGAAGAGCAGATAAGATGGCTCTCAGAGAGGAGAAGTTTCTCAACTGACGGCACTCCTGTAATCCAAAAAATTATAAAAAATATAATGCCTTGGGTTTAAGAAGAGGAAAGAAATATTAACTTCACAAATTTACACTGGATCAAATATGTAACAACACAAAGTGATAAGGAAATCTTTAAACATCTGTACCATTAAAACTGATAGTAGTAGTTAGACATAAACGTCAACGGTTTAATTATCTTAATTTGCTCAGCAAAATTGTTTGCAAAATGTTGCTCTGTCACAACAGTAATTGACCTGAAAAAGAAAACTTGAGCAGAGTATTCCGTCTATTATAGTGCTCCTTGTGGCCATTATGAATTGTGCTCTGACATATTTCAGAATCAAATTTTTTTAGTATGTTTCGGGCCTCATACACACCTGAGCTACAGAGATCCACTTCTCAATAATCTTTGCCCTGTGGCTGAGAACTGCACAAGTGCAACACGTTCTTCCATTATGAATTGTGCTCTGACATATTTCAGACTCAAATTTTTTTAGTATGTTTCGGGCCTCATACACACCTGAGCTACAGAGATCCACTTCTCAATAATCTTTGCCCTGTGTGTAGGGCCGCTACGAGTGCAGGATGGGGAACCGGGAGGGGATGTGGAAGGAGGGCACAGCAGAGAGGTGATAACGCAGTTAGTGACGGCATTGAACTGGGCAATGGTGGCACGGACCGTAGGCGCTAGATTTCGATTCTCTTTCTTGTCCCTCTGAGACCAAATGCAGCCAAGGCAGTGAAATGGAACCACTTTGACAAAGAGTTCCTGAGAAAGAAATGGAAGCAGATGAATAAAAGTAGGCCATAAATAAAAACCAGCCTCAGTATGTAAATCTTGACACCTACAGCATCTAAGAGCGTGAGCTGCTCAGCAATGTCTCGTGCAGGGAAGCCCAGTACATCCCCCATCTCTTCTATGTCCTGTCTGTCCGTGATGTCTTCAGTTGCGAAATGGTGGCACGAACCGTGGGTGCTAGATTCCGATTCTCTTTCTTGTCCCTTTGAGACCAAATGCAGCCAAGGCAGTGAAATGGAACCACTTTGACAAAGAGTTCCTGAGAAAGAAATGGAAGCAGATGAATAAAAGTAGGCCATAAATAAAAACCAGCCTCAGTATGTAAATCTTGACACCTACAGCATCTAAGAGCGTGAGCTGCTCAGCAATGTCTCGTGCAGGGAAGCCCAGTACATCCCCCATCTCTTCTATGTCCTGTCTGTCCGTGATGTCTTCAGTTGCCCGATTCTCTACAGCAGCTGTGCTGGCTTCTGCTGATGTACCTGTGTGTTTGTCTGTTATTTAGCGTAGATTTTTTTGGGTGTGTGTGCATAAAAGCTAAATTAGCCATATTTCAAGACTTGCCTTCAGTCTGAAATTTTCTGAGAAGAGCATCGGCTTGATGAACCAGACGTCTGAAACAAAGGCGATGACGCAGATGAGCACAGAGCAGCCGAAGAGCCTGGTGATCTGGAGAGTCCCGAAGGTCCTCTTGATACTCGTCTAACCACAGCCGGATCAGACATGGCATAGAACTGCGCGCGCACAAACACACACACACACACGCATTGTATTGGAGTAATCAATGAAGCTCTTGGAATTAGAATGAATAATCAAGATGAATAACCAGTTTCACTTTATTAATAATAGATAATGATTGCACGCGACAACCAGTTTCAATTTAAAGTTCATTATAAAACAATATTTGACCACAGAATATCACAATTGACCAATCAGAATCAAATATTCCAGGACATTCCTAAACATGTGAATTCAACTCACCTCCTAAAACAGACACTGTTGTCCAGATTGGTGACCATGTCCTCTCTACAGAGACAAATAAATAAGTCTAAATTTAATATTCAAAACATTCCTAAAACCATTCAAAATAAGTTTTAGGATTATGAACATTGTAACAATTTCTGACACAAATGTGTAACAAGTGATCTTTTGAGGCCTATTACCTTTATTTATGCTTAAACAAAACACAAAGGACTCTCGCGGTTCAACAAAAGCGCCTCTGACGTGAGACAAGTCAAGTGAAACCTGTTCAACAGTGTGAGGTGTTCTCTTCCATTCCACTGCGTCACTGATTTGTATAATGTGATAATGGACTGTAATAATTCCACAGGAATAAAAGATGTCTCTGAGAAATACTCTGCCTCATACTGAATTTAGAAACTTGGGCTTCCCCCCTCATTTGATTATTCACAATCCCTGAGCCTTGTAGAATGTATGTCATGTAAATTCCCTCATATTTAAATACATGTGGGATAGCTGTGTCTGAATTGGAAATCAATGACTTTATGAAGGTACCTCCAAAAGAAACAGGCCTGTAATGCACATAACATCATGTCTAATGTGCTAAGACATTCAGAATTTGCCATATGTTTAAGGCATATGTTTGTGGTATATCACCACATGAAGGTATGATGGAATGTTATGGAAACATTACATTCAGAGGTACCTTGATGCCACACTTCCTCCATTCAGGTGTTGGAAACAGCCCATATCCGTTATAACTGTCACTGACGCATAATAAAAAAACATGACTAGCTACAGTTATTTTACTTTACAAAATACTTTATTTTATTTTACAGTTAAATTTTAGTTAATTCCTTACAATTGTAATTGTATTAGAAGGAACACAAGTGGATTACTTTTTGGTTCTTATCGGAGCATGACAGCCCAAGCTGCTGTTCACGTTTACTGTATGGAAAACAGAAGCTTAAACATTCTGCTAAACATCTATTTTTGTGGGAGGAAAAAATGAATGATTGTTTGGGTAGACTATACTTATAAATTATTATATGCTCACCAAGGCTGCATTTATTTATTTGATCAAAAATACAGTAAAAATTGTCATATTGTAAAATATTATTACAGTTTAAATATTTAGAATATTACAATTTGGAATATATTTAGAATATATTTTAAAATGTAATTTATTCCTGTGAAACAAAGTTGAATTTTCAGCATCCTTACACCAGTCTTTAGTGTAACATGATCCTTCAGAAATCCTTCTAATATGCTGATTTGGTGCTTAATATTTTTGTGGAAACCATGATAATTTTTTTCAGGATTCCCTGATGACAACATTCTGATAGGACATTCAGAATAACAGCATTTATTAGCTGGAAATCTTTTGTAACATTATAAATGTCTTTATAAATGTCTTTACTGAACTTTTGATCAATTTTATGCATCCTTGTTGAATACAAGTATTAGTTTACTTTAAAAAAATCTTAGCGACGCCAAACTTTTAAACAGTAAATGTTAGCTTAATGTCCCTATAACCCTCTGAGACAGCAATTAAATTAACACCAACTGAGCATTTGTGCTAACCTTTGAAACAGGAGTTCTATGAAAGCATTTGTGCAGGTAAAGGCTCTGTAGGTGGAGAGGAAGATTTGCATGTAGTCTGGGTCAGGGCACTCCGGGTTCACCAATTCTGAGACAAGACGCTCCAGAGTGGCTGCTTTAAGCCTGCGGACCTTCATTGTGCAGTACTGCATGAAGCCGAAGGCAGAAGAGTTCTCAGCAGCATCAGGTGGGGGCTGGATGGGTTCTCGGTGAAGAGTGACCCCATAAATGGCACCGTCTTCCACCTCCTCTCCCCACTCCTGCACCGGGTCCTAGACAAATACATCATCAGGCTATACATGTTGAATTTGCAGCTGACTAAAGGAAAAATATGCACACATTGAACCTACTGTAAAGCTTGATATGATGCCTATTGTAGCACTATTAAACAAACACAGTGCCATAAAGATTCTATTTTACAGTCATGATTATACCGCAGCAGTTCATGAGATTTTAGAAAAACAGAACAGCAGTGGATTTGGCTTCTGCAGTGAACTGCACTGAAATGTAGGTCTTCAACTTCCAAAAAAGGTTGCTGCAAGGCACTGACCTAACATTTCACTTTCCAGGAAGAAATATACAAAACAGGAGTTTTGCAAAATACAGGCAAATTGTTATCCAAATTATAAGTCAAGAGGAGTGAATACATTTTATCTTCACTGGCTTGAGAAGACAATACATTGTACATTACATTTATGTTCTTAGCAGATGCTTTTTCAACAAAATCATGTACAATACAGAGTTCAAATCATGTTATAAGCAAATACACCAAACATTTTTACAGTACTAAAAATAATAACACCGCTGTTTAATGATGCCCACACAAGAAGACCTTTCATTTTCATTTTAAGGAAAGAAGAGAAATAATTTAAGGTCTTTCATGGCGGAAAACCATAACTAGCTGACACCAAAAATCCTCTTTGGTGGTAAAATGAAGCCATGATTATTTGCATAGCAAATATCATACCCACAATGAATAACAGCTGTGGGCGAATAAAAAAAACCCCTGATGATTTTAAACAAAGACAGACTGTGTAACATACTGGAGTACATTAAGTCCAGTGTTTTCTCTACCAGGGAAAACACAGTTGTTGTTGTTGAGCTGGTTGTTGACTAATTCAGATGTGACCAATATTAGATGAGCTCATAACAACTGGCTTGAGGACATATTAGCATAATGGTGTCATCTATCACTGATTCTTGAACACGGGATGTATGTCCTATAATGCTTTAAAAAACAAAGTATACTTGATTGTTTTTAAATTAAAAAAAGATTAATAGCTATAAAATCACCTATCCTCATAACATAACTTAATGCTTCATGTAAAATAAAATAATTAGTTGTATATAAAATAATACACAACCATTCAGAAGCTTGAGGTCAGTTTTTTTTTAAGAAATTAATACTTTTATTCACCAAGGATGCATTACATTGATCAAAGGGCGACATTTATAATGTTACAAAATAATTGTTTCTAATAAATGCTGTTCTTTTGAACTTTCTATTTATCAAAGAATCATGAAGAAAAAAAAATCAGTTTCAACAAAAATATTAAATAGCACAATTTCAGGATCGATAATAATAAGAAATATTTATTGAGCACCAAATCAGCATATTGGAATGATTTCTGAAGGATCATGTGGCACCGAAGACTGCAGTAATGTTGCTGAAAATTCAGCTTTACCATTACAGGAATAAATTACAATTTAAATTATACAGTATTAGAATAGACAGCAGTTGTTATAAACTGTAATAATATTTAACAACATTGCGGTTGTACTGTATTCTTGATCCTTGAGTAAAAAAACTTCTTTAAACATAACAAAAACTTACTGACTCCAAACTTTTGAATGGTGGTGTATATTATCTTATATTAACTAATAAAAATTAAATTGTATTTTTAAAGAAACACTTCTAATATAAATAAATATATATATGTCCTGTATGTCAACTTCAACACTTTTTTTTTTTTTTAATTAAGATCATTTAGATAATTAGCTAATTTGCCTTATTTTAAGTGGAACCTATTAGTATAGCAACACCAGAAAATATGCTGCTGTATTAAATACATGTGTGACATGTAAAATATGTAAGCTGTCAAGTCAATCACTGCTGTGCCCTGTTTTGTTCTAAGCCTCAAGAATCACTGCTGTTCCAAAAGCTCAATGGATATCACAGAATATAGGCTACATAATATGCAAACCACACATTTGGAAAGGGTTGCGCTTCCAAGTAAACCAAGGGCAGCCTATTACTCTAACAAATCAATTGCTGTGAAAATCACAAGTGCATTCTTCCCAGAAACTCCAGTCAAGCAAAACAGAGAGCTTTCCAAGCCAAAGCCCCGTGTCTCCTTCAAAACTGTGCCATGGAACAAAACACAGGGAATGATGGGGGAAGGGAAAGCTGAAACTATCACAGGTCAGCTGTGAAACGGGACACTGTAAATATATTCAATCTCCAGGTGGGTCTGAGAACAAACACAAGATCGGTTCTATTGTGACTGTGAGACTCCCGAGGGAAAAGTGAAGCGCACCGCACCCTACCCTGAGCACGCATTACATGTAACACTTAAACGCTTTCCTAAAGCCAATATCACGTCTAATTGTAAAAACATTGAGCTTTTGTGACAGTACTGAGATGTCCGGAAAAAAAAGAACAAGATATACTGCATTTTCTCTGGCATTAACGTGAAGAGAAACACTAATGCGCCGCGCGACACACTGTACAACAACAAATCGCGTTTCCAGATCTGATGATACAAAGTTACTTTTTCTCAAGTCATTCTAATTTTTAAACTAATATTAAACAGAATTAATGTCCTTGATGAAAATAGCCTAATTAAGTAAGCGACTTACCATTGTGAACTCCCATTTTGCCATGTTTTCAGCTCTTTATTTCTTCAGCCGTATGATCAAGTAGTGTAAGCGTTTAGACTTTGCATTAGCGCAGCAAAAAAAAACTTGTAAACTTTATTTCTTAGTCAGCTAGTGTCAAACTTGACTACCATGTCTAGAGAGCTGGTGGAAATGGATGGCTTTGCGAAGTGAGGTTTAATTAAGAACTCCAGTGAAGATAAAGTCAACTTACTGTACGTTTCATACAGTACTACCATTACTGTCATCAAATATATTATGCTTTAAAGGAAAATGAAATCCGTGACCGAAGAAAATGATTATATTTACGGTTATGTCTGTGTTTTAGCTGTCTATATAGCACAGCGCACCTGTCAAGCGCTTTAAACTGCAGTGGGTTGGACAATTACGTTTAGTATGACGTACGGGGCGCGTCATTAATATTAATTACGTTGCGTGGAACGCCTCTGGTAGTTTACCAAGCAACTTCACATTGCTAATTAATATTCATGACCTAAGCCTTAGGTATAGTAGGATTCACAATGTCAAGTGTGGAAGTATGGAAATCCACATGACTTCATTTTAAATTGAAAATTAAGATTATGATTTAAATATTTTATTTTACCATGTCATTCTGAGATTTCTTGGTATGAGAATTTGGGCAAAATACAAGACTTAAAAGGAATTAAACTAAATGTATACAAATTAAGCAGCATTTAATTTATAAACAACTAATTCAACCATACAATTGCTAATTTACAGTTTTTACCCCACGCTCACAGAGACACTACAACATAACAATAAGTGACGCACACTACTGAACTCTTATTGAGAGACCACGACCATCACGATAAAAGTATTTATCTATATCCACTAACAATACCACTCAATACTAAGACAGAGGTCATATGCTGGTGTGTGTCTTAATGCCAGGTAGAATAGCTAACACACACACACACACACACACACACACACACACACACACACACACACACACACATACACACACACACACACACAAAGTACATACCAGCAATGTTAAAATACTTTTCATTGTTGACATGCTTAGTAACATCTTGTCAGGTAATAACTCTGGTAGTAGATCAATTTAAACATTTAAACAATTTTTAACCATTCAGGGTGATACCTAAACCACCATTGCTCCTTACCCATAATTTTATTTTTGGTTTATTTTTATTTTATTTATGACAACAACAACATACACTAATGCTCAAATTTTTGGGGGGTCAGTAAGATTTTAATTAATGATTAATGTTTTTTAAGACATTTATTCTATCAAAATACGGTAAAACAGTAATATTGTGAAATATTATTACAATTTAAAATAACTTTTCTATGTGAATATATTTAAAATGTAATTTATTCCTGTGATGCAAAACTGAATTTTCAGCTTCATTGCGCCAGTCTTCAGTGTCACATGATCCTTCAGAGATAATTCTTATATGCTGATTTGCTCAAGAAACATTTCTTATTATCATCAATGTTAAAAATCAATGTTGTGCTGCTTACTATTTTTGTGGAAACCGTGATACATTTTATCAAGATTATCAAAATAGGAATCTTTTGTAACATTATAAATGTCCTCACTGTCACTTTTGATGAATTTAATGTGTTCTTGCTTAATAAAGGTATTAATTTCTTAAAAAAAAAAACATTTTGAAAAAGTTTGAACGATAGTGTCAATTCAACAAAAGTGAGCCTGACGAAAGTGGATGCATGAATTACCTCAGGAATATTTTTCATATATTACAATCAACAAATATACATCAGAGGTTTAGAAGGGATGGATATACTCTTGGAGATTTACTGTTGTTCTGTCTAAGCTCAATTTTAGCCAGCTCTGAATCTTTATAATTTATACAGCTTATTTGTAAGCTGCTTTGCATTAAAGAGCATACTAAATGAATAAATGCAAATGTAATTGTCAATAGATCTTCATCAGCACTGACCTCACTGCATTCCTCAAGGTCCAGCAGATGGAAGCTCCTGAGCCAAACGCCAGGCTCCTCGTCCATCTGCACATCCACATGATGCCCAGTCTGGCACAGCAGTTGTCTCATTCGTCCAAGTCGTGCCCGCAGACCCTTATCTCCACCAGACACCACCAGAGAGGACCTCATCCTCCACCCGAATCACACACCAACTTCCTCCAAGAGCAGCAGATACTTGTCAGGCATGTTATTCGGCTTCAGCAAGCATTCAATAACAGAAGTGTGTAGCTTCTACTTTGATTAGCAAATTAACTAACTAATACCTAACTAAATAAATAGTTAAATAACTATAAATAAATCAATACATACACACATACAAACATATTTCTGATTCATTTTATGTTGTAACATTGTTTGAATTTTTTTTTTTTTACAAAATGTAAAAGTTTTGTTGTTTTTGTTGTTTTTTAAATTCCTCTTAATTCAGTAAAACTACCTATAATTTAATGAATCTAGGAAGTTTACTTTCTAGGAGAGACTGTACTCAACTAAAAGTTTTATTTTATTTTATTCAACTTCTTCCAAGATCAGCAGATACATGTCAGGCATATTATACAGCTTCATCGTGCATTCAGCAGTGTTATTTAGTATCACAGATATTATTATAGATTTTATTAATATTTTGATGTTTTTATTTTTGTTTTAATTTGAATACTTTCCTTTTTAATTTTAGTTTTTTTTTTAATAATTTTAAGTAGTTTTTGTTTAGTTTTGTTTAGTTCCCTTTCGAGCATTAACTCTACATTGTGAAACATTCACAGTGGGAACTCATCTCCTTCTCTGAAAATCCTGAAACCTTATAGGATAGCGGCAGTACAATAAACTGGCCAATTGTCGCTAATTATGCAAATCACATACAAATACTGACAAGCCTGTGGGCAGTATATAATGCGGTAAGAGCGACAGTTGCCTCAGAATCTTCTCCTTCATGTTGCCATCGTCAAAGACGCACCAGAAGATATGACAGCTTCTTTACTGCATCCGATGGCTAACTTTTGCCGAATTTGCATGGGCCCCATTGACCCGGAGGACCTGCACAAGCACTGCATCGCCTGCCAGGACCTGGCCCATGCTGAGGCGGAGTTCTTTGAGTCCGACTGCGTGCACTGCACTGACTTGCCAGCATGTGTTTCGAGGACTCAGAGGAGCATCACTGCCAGCAATAGCGACCGGAGAGATTCGGCCGCTATGTCAGTTCCTAGACATGTGGAGAGCTATTCCAGGCATTTCACGCTGGGTGCTGAGCATTATAGAACACGGATATTCCCTCCAGTTCAGACACAGATCTCCCCATTTCAACGGCGTGGTTCCGTAACTGACAATGCCTCAAAATGCCCCTGTTTTGAGACAGGAGGTTCACACACAGCCTTGCAATAAAGCGATAGAGCAAGTCCCTCCGAGAGAGCTGGAGAGCGGGTTTTATAGCCGCTTTTTTGTGGTGCCCAAGAGAGATGGTGGACTCTGTCTGATTCTGGACCTAAGACCCATCAACAGAGCACTTCACAAGCGTGCATTTAGGATGACGACTCTGAAGCAGATCCTTGCACAAATCCATCCCGGGACTGCTTTGCATCCGTAGATCTGAAAGATGCATACTTTCATATTCAGATAGTACCGCGCCACAAACGCTTTCTGAGGTTTGCTTTTGAGGGCACGGCATACCAGTACTCAGTGGTCCCATTCGGGCTGGCTTTAGAACTGCGCACGTTCTCGAAGTGCATAAATGCAGCGCTTTCCCCTCTCAGAGCGAGCGGTATGCGCATTCTAAACTATCTGGACGATTGGCTGACTTTAGCCCATTCACGAGATATGCTTATCAGTCATACAGATGCACTGCTTCGCCACCTGGAGTCCCTAGGGCTGCGTGTGAATATGCAGAAGAGCATGTTCACCCTGAGCCTGCATCTCTCAAGAGCGCATAACAACCATTTCATCAGCTCTGCGCCTCTTCAAAACGGGCCAGTCTGTTCCCTTGAGGGAATTTCAGAGGCTTCTGGGACTTATGGTGTGGGCCTCATCAGCCTGCCACCTGGGTCTTCTGCACATGCGGCACAGTTGTGGCTGAAAACTCGAGTTCCGTGGAGAGCATGGACCACAGGTCGCATGCGCATCGTGGTCACACACAGCTGTGTCAGCGCTCTGAGACTGTGGCGTGACCCAGAAATGTTCAGCCGGGGGGTTCCCCTGGGACTGGTAGCAGCACGCACTGTGGTTACGACAGATGCGTCAACCTCAGGCTGGGGAGCAGTGTGCAGGGGTGTACCGACTTCAGGCCTGTGGTCAGAGTCTCAGAGCAGGTGGCACATAACCCGCTTGGAACTAAAAGTGGTGTCCTTAGCCTTAGTGGCTTTTCTGCCACAGCTGGAACAGTGACATGTGCTGATTCACAACGACAATATGTTTGTGGTTTCATACATAAATCGCCAAGGCGGCATGTGCTCCAGAGCCCTTTTCAAGCAGGCTGCGAGTCTTCTATTATGGGCAGATCATCATCTACTCTCCATCAGAGCGGCTCATATCCCAGGTCTCCTAAACCACAGAGTGGACATGCTTTCGAGGAACGGAATTCCTCACGGGGAGGCTGCATCCTAGTTCGGTTCGGATGATTTGGGACCACTTCGGGAGGGAGGAGGAGAATCTTTGCAACGAGCGAGAACACGCACTGCCCGCTGTTCTTTTCACTGTCTCACTGTCTCAAGTGAATGACTCGATATGGCACCCCAGCCCGGAGCTGTGAAGCCTTCATGTGTGGCTTCTTCAGGGGTCCTAGAGGTGCCCTGCCTCCCCATGTGCTTGACACGCTCACTGATTCTCGTGCACCTTCTGCTAGGCGTCTGTACGCTCTTAAATGGAGAGTGTTTGTGAAATGGTGCTGTGATAGAGATATCGACCCGGCAAGCTGTCCTGTGTCGGACGTTTTACATTTTCTGCAGCACAGGCTAGATAACTGGAGTCTACCGTCAACACTAAAGGTTTATGTGGGTGGCCGCTATTGCTTTGTTTCGTTCCCCGGTTGACAGGCAATCGATCGAGAGGCATGCACTGGTGGTCAGATTTCTCAGGGAAGTGAGGAGATTACATCCCCCATGCCCACCGTCAAAGCCGCCGTGGGACCTAGCGCTGGTTATGAAATCTCTCTCTCTACTCCGTTCGAGCCCTTAGCATTTATTGCTATGAGGGAGGGAGCTCTCCCTCAAAACTGCTCTGCTTCTTGCCCTTGCCTAAGTGCATAGGAGATATGCATGCGCTCTCGGTGGATGGCGATTGTATTTGCTTTGGGCCTGGGCGGACCATTACCCTTTGGCCGAGACCGGGCTACGTGCCTTAGTCTCTTTATATCCCCTTTAAAGCGTGGGTCATTTCTTTGCCCGCTTTGTCTTCCAAGCTGCCAACCTCGTGTGATGCCGAGACTCAGAGCGCCGTTTACTGTCGTAACCTCGGTTCACTGAGAGTGGGAACGAGCCATTGCGAAGGTCGCCGTGATCGCAGCTCGATCAGTAGTTCAAGCATTCAGTCTTAGATTCTGAGGCAATTGTCACTCTCACCGCATTATATACTGCCCGCAGGCTAGTCAGTATTTGCATGTGATTTGCATAATTAGTGATGATTAGCCAATTTATTGTACTGACATTATCCAAGAAGGTTTCAGGATTTTCAGGAAAAAGGGGAGGAGTTCCCACTGCGAATGCTTCACGCTGTCTCGTTCCTGCTCTCAGGGAACTGAGGTTACTATAGTAACTGGAAACTTTTTTTATATATGTCTATTTAGTTACACCCTGAATGGTTTATTTCAGTTTTATTTTTAGTTATTTTAGTACATCAAGTTAAGCTAAAGTAATAAGAAATGTTAGCCTGGCAACCAGCGGAAATAAAAGTTTCACATTTTTATAAAACTTTATAAAACTATAAGTTTTATATAGGTTTTATGTTTAATTTTGTTTCAGTTATCATTTATTTTAAGTAACCTTTTTATGGCTTTAGTTTTAGTTAACTATAGACTGAAGAACAACAGGGAATAAGACTGAGGTAATGACACTGTAAAGTCTTATGTCTTTAAAAGTTTTTATTTTATTTTAATGAATTTTATTTTATATTTTATCATTCATTATTTTTACATTTTTATTTTATTGTAATTTATTTTATTTTATATTTTATCATTCATTGTAGGCTAATGGTATTATGTGGATACATGCACCATTTAATTAATAATATAATCATAATATTGGATGTTATGTTAACATTAATATATGTAAATCATTTTATTTCCATTTAAAATTATAAAAAACATTTTTTTTTGAGAAACTTAATAAAGCAGCATTAACACAGGATGAGCAACTCACTGTGGATGATGCTCCTTATCCAGTCTGTTCGTGATGGATCAGCTCCTAATAATCCATGTTTTGTACTCTGCTAAAACCAGGAGAGATGATGCCATGACCTTCCAGAAAGATCCCTCATGAAAACTGAACACTGTCTGATGTCTTCAGCAGAAGTGACTGTGAACACAGGAGGTCATCTAAACTCTAGTAGCCCTGCATTTCTCATTAGTCCATCTCTGATTCTCTTCATGCTGACTAGCATTGCACGAACTCACACAATAATCTGATTGTTACACAAACTAATGGGCTGTCAATTCAGTTTATTCCACCCAGTGCACACAATCTCTTCTTTTTCTGAGTCTTCTTTTTTGTTGTACATGTTAATTAGCACTGCAGTAAGAGTACAGTTCAGTCAGTGTTCTTGTGTGTTCGTCTGTAGGAACTGTGAAGTGAATAAACTAGTAAAAGTGCACAACATGAAGCATATAAAACGTTAAATAAATTAGATACTAAAAACACAGAGAAGTAAAAGACGGGTGATTACTCCAAAAGAGAAAGTGTGCTCTACTAAGGACACTACAGGTGCATCTCAATAAATTAGAATGTCGTGGAAAAGTTCATTTATTTCAGTAATTCAACTCAAATTGTGAAACTCGTGTATTAAATAAATTCAATGCACACATTCTAATTTATTGAGATGCACCTGTAATATCACTACACAGATTTTCTGTGTTTCTATTAAAAGATATAGATTTTCTAATTGTTCTGAACGACATAATTGATAAAACTTAAGACTATTAAATATTTGCCCGCGTTAAAGCAGAAACCCTGAAACCCATTAAATAGCGTTCACTTTCAAACACCTGCAGATCTCACCGTTGTAAACAAAGAAACGGGCTTTTTCAGATTGACAATTAAGCTATACCGCCTCCTCCGTTTAATTTGTTTTTGAAGCGCTCTTCTCTTCCTGTAAGCAAAGCTCACTGCTGTTTTTAAATTTGACTTGGAAAAAATACAATTTTGACGCTCATGAGGAGTAAAATCTTGCGATTGTGCGCGTACGTGATCCTCGAGTGGTTGCCAGACTGCAAAGGTAATGTTATGAAATAGAAAAAATGTCATAGTTGCCCATAAAGTGTATGATTCATACCATTACAAAACAATGTATTCATATACTGAATCACAACCATGGTAATGGCTCTGAGGTATTTCTTTTTGACTTTCACACGAGTGCTATGGTTTCTTTCTTTGTTGGAATGGCTCTTAATATCTATGGCCCAATATCAGTCCCACTCCCAATCAACGCATAAATCTGCATTTTAATATAATCTCCTATTTATTATAAACCCTGATTTATGTGGTTTTTACTATTTTCTTGCAACAGACATTAAATAAATGTCCACATTAATTTAACTGTAAAATTTAAAGTAAAAAAAAAAAACAAGGTACTTGTCACGCTAAGTCAGTTTTCCTTTAATGCTTTTTGAAAGTTCTAGGCCACAAAAGTATCCCATATTTGTGGAATGTGGCATTTACCAAAAAGCAGTTAATTACAGTAACCAGAAATAGAGACACAATGGGGATGATAAAACCATGGCATGCACAGAAAGGAACTGTAGATTATAACTTTATTATCTCTAAGTGGATGTTTCAGTGCAAATGGCAGTGAGGCCTTATGAAACACACACACCTTCTCACACCCTGGTGTACGGCTCAGCCGTGTACACTATTATCTGCTTCAGTGCCTTCAGAGTCTTATATAACAAGGTCAGGAAGTGTAAATGATATAGACAGTGAACCTGTACAAGGAAATGTCATTCTGCAGAATATGCTACAAGAATATTTATGATAAGAATCCCATGTAAAGTAGGTCTGTGATCATGTGTTGTTATAATTCAATTCAAGTTTATTTGTACAGCGCTTTTCACGATACAAATCATTGCAAAGCAACTTTACAGCAAATTATATTGAAAATAGCAGAGGACCTAGGACAGATCCTTGAGCCACTCCATATTTTACTGGTGATAATTGAGATGACTCCCCATTTAAAACATTATAAAACAATTCTCATAAGGAATTTGGTCTTAAAAGGAGGAGAATGTTATGTGCAACCTTATGTGCAAATGTTAAGTGCAACCCTGATGCTACAGAGCTCATTGTGACCCCTATTGAACCAAGTGCAGAAACATTAGGGGCTTACTCTTTTCTTATCAGATCTAGCTCGGGTATAATAATGTATGGGTTCCTGCCTTAGACACTTCTTCTTCTTATGCTTCTGACCCTCTCTCCTTCTCCTTGCTCTAGCAGGCCTGTTTTTGCTGTTTATTTTAGTTTTTTTTATTAAGGTAATGAATAGAAAGTTCAAAAGCACAGCAGTTATTTGAATCATTGGTAACATTATAAATGTCACTCACTGACAGTGTACATGTATGCAGTAAATCAGCGGAGGGATCCACAGGACATTTTTCAAATTCTGTGCCGAGATGGAATCTCTGTCTTATCTTCACACAGGTGTCACATGTGTCATGTGAGAACTGAGATCTTCAACAGGTGTCACGTTCGAGTCATGTTTCGTCCGGCATGCAAGTAATAATGCGCACAAACAACTCCAGCAGCTAATACATTTATCAAAATAAAAACTACATCAGCTCAATAATTCATTTATTTTCTTAAGTGTGAATTCACAGACATGTTGAATGGAGATAAAGCTTTTAGGAAATGTGTGGCTACAGCTGATCATGTTTTAAATGCTGTCAGATGTTTATTATCTCTCCTGTGACTGGATCAGATCAGAGTTGGCCTTTCCTCTTTTTGATGCGAGTCTTCCTCCTGGTGTTTGCGTCAATGATTGACTGCGACTGGTGCTTCAGTGTGACACGGTTGGTGACATCACCGTCATCAACGCCGCTGTCCTCCTCATCTGTTGTCAGAAAAGACATGCAGGTGTGTAAGATGTGTGTCACCTTACTTTGCTAAATCAGTTCTGTTACTGTTACTTGTACATATGGATCAACAGCATTCTTAGTGTACACACACAATCACACATGAATGTGATCTGACTCCTAACATCTTAACAAATCCACCAACGCTCTGTACACCAGAAGGGTGAGCTTTTAAGTACAACACAGTGTTCAGACAGAAGAAAGTACTGGATCAAGAGAGCACAGGAGAACATCTTGATAAGAGGGAGCTTTTGAACAGTGTACTAGAGCAAAAAACACATGGCCAAGCCTGGTCAAGAGCTTTCCAGGTTCACAAACCAGTGATCACTGGTGCAAATAAGAGTATCTAAGATAAAGAAATAGAATAAAAAACAAACAAACAGCATGTTAAGTTCATAGCTGTATGTAATCTTTGTATCCATGTTGGTTTAATATGGTTTTAAAAATCTACAATCTTCAAAGAAAAGTTATGTGGCTTGTCATGTGGCATAACCAAGTAAACATTTTCCTTACACTTTGAATACATGTGATCTTAAATATTTTTAAAAGTACAAAATATAATTTTCAGGGTAAAAATGTTTTTACATTTATTATTAAAGGGATAGTTCACCCAAAAATGAAAATTCTGTCATTAATTACTCACCCTCGTGTCGTTCAAAACCCGTAAGACCTCATCTTCAGAACACAAATTAAGATATTTTTGATTTTATTTTTGCCTTGAACAGTAGTTCTGTTGCGGTCTATGCAGGGTCAGAAAGCTCTCAGATTTCATCAAAAATATCTTAATTTGTGTTCCGAAGATGAACGAAGGTCTTATGGGTTTTGAACGACGCGAGGGTGAGTAATTAATGACAGAATTTTCAGTTTTGGGTGAACTATCCCTTTAATTATTGATACGGTTTTCTTTCTTTTTATTTTATTATTATTATTTTTTTTTACAGTATAATATCAAGAAATCACTCTGACATTTGTGGCTTCATCCCCTCAGAATGTCAAGATTTAAATTCAGAAATATGAGGTATGTATTGAAGTCCATTCCATATGCTTTGGTAAATTCTAATTATGACATAAAAGGTCGAAATTATGAGATAAAAAGTCATAATTATGATGAAAAAGTCAAAGTTATGACATAAGCCAAAATTATGAGATAAAAAGTAGGTTATGACATAAGTCAACATGGCACATCTCATTTTATCTAATAATTTTACATTTTAATCTAATATGTTTGTCATTTTATTAGCATTTCATAATTTTCAATTATTAGCATTTCATAATTTTGACTTTTTATGTCATATTTATGACTTCTTATTTCATTATAATTTACCAAAGCATTATTATTTTTTTCTTATGGCAGAAATGGGATGCCATGGAAATATGAAGTAGTATCTCACCATCAAAAAAGTCCTGTTTCTGGGCCTCAGGCAGCTGAATGCGAGTGTTGCTCTGGGGTAGTTTCCCTGCTATTCTGGCATGGAACTGCAGGGGGGCATAAAAAAACAACAGTAAAATATCAGTAAAGGTTATTTTACAGCTAACAAAAAAATCAAATATGACACATATTGCTACAGTAAACAAAACAGTTAAAGGGGTCATATGATGTTGCTAAAAAGAACATTATTTTGTGTATTTGGTGTAATGAAATGTGTTTATGCAGTTTAAGGTTAAAAAAACATTATTTTCCACATACTGTACATTATTGTTTCTCCTCTATGCCCCGCCTTTCTGAAACGTGTCAATTTTTACAAAGCTCATCGGTCTGAAAAGCGAGGTGTGCTGTGATTGGCCAGCTATCCAGTGCGTTGTGATTGGCCGAATACCTCAAGCGTGTGACAGAAATGTTACGCCCCTTACCATATTGTGATGCCGTGTCCCGGCCGGAGCGATGAGACAAAAACATTAAAACCCATTATAAACGAGGTATTTGTTGCATCCAGTGGGGACATAATTAAGGATTACAATGACTTATTCTTTTTACGCGTTGCGTTGCATCGCACCGCATAAACATAAAACCATGTCTGCATTTGAGCCGGTGGGCTTGAGTACGGTGCGGTCGGCGGATTCGACGAAGGAGCGGCCGGTGGGTTTACAGCAACCACATGTGATGACCCCGGGCTGGACTCCGCTTCGTCCAATCTCTTTGGATTTGAGACTTTAGTCTTTGCAACTTTACAGATCTTCTTTATGCACCAAGAGCTTGTAACACTCCAAAGAGAAAGGAAAAATTGAAATCGCATCATATGACCCCTTTAAAGTAACATAATAATATGTTTCACTAGTGACACATCTTCAACAAACCAAAATATAATTACACCAACATGACTAATCAGTGTTCCTCACCTCTTCTTCCTCCAACTCCTTCATGACAGTTGCCAGATCTTTGCCCTGTAGTTCCTCCTTTAGCAGCATCAGTTTCTGCTCAGCCTCAGACATCAGCTGCAGCATGTGTTCTTCTGAGTCTAAAGGCAGCCGTGCTGCTGGATCCTTCATCTGCCAAAAACCACGGAAAATACTCAGATATTTATCATCTCTGCTCAGTTACATACATTTCATGAATGCATTACTTAAAGATAAAAGATAAAGACTTAAAGATTTCCTTGATATACTACTGTTCAAAAGGTAGGGGGATAGATTTCAGATAAAAAAAAAAAAGAATAATTAATACTTTTATTAAGCAAGGGCATATTAAAATGATCAAAAATGAAAGACATTTATAATGATACAAAATATTTCTGTTTCAAATAAATGCTTTTCTTTTCAATTTTCTATTTATTAAATAATCCAAATATAATATTTCTACATAAATATTACAACGTAAGCACAACTGTTTTTAACACTGATAATAAGAAAAGTTTTTGAGCACCAAATCAGCATATTAGAATGATTTCTGAATGATCATGTGAAGACTGAAGTAATGTAAACTGAAGTAATAAAAAATAAAAAACAGTTATTTTAAATTATACAAATATATCACATTATTGTTTTACTGTGTTTTTGATCGAGAAATGCAGCCTTCATGAGCATAAGAGACTTTCAGAATCATTTAAAATAATTTCGAGCGCTAAGAAATGAGTATATTAAATATGCTTCATAGGGTTAATACTGTCTTTCCTCACCTGTGAGTCTGTGACTCCAGTGGCCTCTTTGGCGTGCTGGAAAGCTTCCTCAAAAGTAGAGATAGATTCTTCTTCTTCTACTGTGGTGGGACTTCGCGGGGCCTCACTGCTCAGCTCATCAGGGTTCATGGATACCCACTGGGGCTAGATGTGACAGATGGAAGGGGAAATGGTTGGTTAAACTTGACAAAAACGATGTGATATCGTAACATGCTTTAAATAATTGCTTTTTTTTTTCTCCCATTACCTATATGAGGTATCGTGCTCTGTGGGTTTATTGAGCTGTGTCTATAGATGAATCCAGCTGTGTTACTGCTCTGATACCTGTAGGTGCTCCTTCAGCTTGCGGTATCCTCGCGTTATGTGCACCGCTTCATGGTATTTCAGCTGTGATTTCTCCAAACTGTTTTCCAGAATGCGCAGTTTCTATACAACAAGCACACAAAAATAATATCCTGGACAAATATTTTTAAGATTCACCAACGTTCATCCAAAATGCCCAGAAAAAAAGACAATTTCTACCTTGTCCTCCTCTCCTTTCTGGGTGTCAGGCAGAGGGCTACTGTTCTGTGGCTTCAGTACCAGGAACTTCAAGTCCTCTAAATGCTGCATCTGTGTCTGAGTGGTGTGTTTCATAGCATTCTGCTTCTTCATTTTATCACACACCTGCTTCTTTAGCACCGTCTGAGCTGCCTGCACAACAATGATTTCTGTTAATAAGTGAGGAGAGTCTAATACAACTTTCTAGACCACAAATTATATGTATACAGTGGGTATAGAAAAGAATCACCCCCCTTTAAAATAATCACATTTTGTTGCTATGGATGTTTTTTATTTGTACTTTTTATTTAAATAAATAATAAAAAAGAAATAAATATACTGTCCAAAACATTCAATTATAGTTTCATAAATATTCCACATATTTATAAATTGAAATGTATTTTTTAATATATATATATAAATTAAGTACCCATTGGATCATCCATGCATTGAATTGCGTAAAGGAATAGTTCACCCAAAAATGAAAGTTTGCTTAAAATCTGCCCACCTTCAGGGAATCCAAGATGTAGATGAATTTGTTTTGCTAGATTTGGAGAAATTTAGCATTACACAACTAGCTCACCAATGGACCCTCTGCAGTGAATGGGTGCTGTCAGTCCAAATCCACAAGTAATCCACACGACTTCAGTCCATCAATTAACGTCTTGTGAAATAAAAAGCTGCGTGTTTGTAAGAAACAAATTCATTAAGGCATTTTAAAGTTAAAGTGGTTCTTCTTGCCAAAATACGAATCCATAATCCATAAAAAGTCCATCCCGTTGTCCTCTCACATCAACATCCACCAACACCTGTTTTGGAATGTTTTTAGATTGTGTGCATATTTCTCTCCTGATTCAGATGAGACGACTTCTTCACTAGAGAAAGTAATATTATAGATAGAGTACTCCTATTTTAGCCAGAAGCAACAGTTTGAAGTTAAAAATGTCTTGATGGATTTGTTTATTACCAACACACAGCGTTTCACTAGATTACTTGTGGATCATTGTGATGTTTTTATGAGCTATTTGGACTCTCATTCTGACGGCACCCATTCACTGCAGAGGATCCACTGGTGATCAAGCGATGTAATGCTAAATTTCTCCAAATCTGTTCCCATGAAGAAACAATCCTCATCTTGGATGGCCGGAGCATGAGTACATTTTCAGCAATTTTTCATTTTTGGGTGAACTATTCCTTTAAGGAAAAATCATTTAACCTCACCTTCACAGACATGTTCCTGAATGATTCTTTCTCCATCCCATGGCCTTGAATAACATCCTTGATAACTTGTTCATCTCCCTGGACACCATGACCAATATTTGAATGAATACATATGTCCAAACTATACTTTAAATGATGGTTTAATTTTAATATTACTTATGTATGTTTTCTGACCTCAGGCTGATTCTTGTGCAGGTTTGTATTCTCAAGTCTCAGCTGCATGATAGTTTCTATGTTCTTGGCAGACTGAGAGTTTTCAATATGCGCTATCGAATAGTCTCCATCTAGTGGACAGTGGAAAAAAAACAACCATTCATCGAGCAAAATGTGAACTTGGTAATGGAATATTAAATTTCTGTAAACAATTTTATTGAGCTCTTTGTTTCATTTAAAATTAATGCAAAGGTATTAAACAGTTACAAAACCACTTTGTTATTCAATATATCCAAGTTGACTGCTGACTGACATCCTCGAGAATAAATACTTAATGAAGAAAATAATAAAACAATGCAAGTACTCATTACTCAACGACTACCGCAATATTACTGAATATATAATCACGTTTTAAGTGAACTGCTTCAGCTTAAACGGTGAAATCCGTAATAAAAACTTACTCAGAAGATGAATTTTTCTTTGGAGCTCCGAAATTTCATCATGGGTTGGGGGCTCGATGTCCTCCGAGATAGACGTGCCGGGCATTTTTATGAACATTTATTATTTGGGTGTTTATAGTTGGCTTTCTCCACTACCGCCTTGCCCACAAGAGCCTCGTTTGTTTTCTACTGGTTGCCTAGTAACTGAACTGGCTGGCTCATGAATATTAAGTACGTTACGTAGCTTAACGCCCGGGAAAACAAACGACATTACGTTCATGCCCTAATTAATATGTATTAGTTTTTCCTCTCGTCACGTTACAGAATTATTTACACTCCGCAACAAACAATACAAGTAGTAACACAAAAATAGCTGCGTCAAATGGACGCATTAAAAACACTGTAAAAACATTTTGTTATATCAAAACGAGTGGCTTTCATTATATTCAAACATCGTCAGATTATTGTGACGAAATATAACAATTTCAAACGCAAACACTGCCATCACGAGAATAATGCATTTAAAGTAATTCAGTAACACATTAGACATTCAAAGGAAACTGAAAAAGATATTAGAACAGTTGTGCCTAGTCTAATAAAGCATAATATATACAAATAGTTTTTCCTCTCGTCACGTTACAGAATTATTTACACTCAGCAACAAACAATACAACAAGTAGTAACACAAAAATAGCTGCGTCAAATGGACGCATTAAAAACACTGTAAAAACATTTTGTTATATCAAAACGAGTGGCTTTCATTATATTCAAACATCGTCAGATTATTGTGACGAAATATAACAATTTCAAACGCAAACACTGCCATCACGAGAATAATGCATTTAAAGTAATTCAGTAACACATTAGACATTCAAAGGAAACTGAAAAAGATATTAGAACAGTTGTGCCTAGTCTAATAAAGCATAATATATACAAATACAAAACCACGTAATTAGCAAAAACAAAAGTAACAAATATGCAACACTTTTGGCTGTAATGACTGGTATTACTCACTGGTGCCTGAGCTATAAAATCAGTGCAAGTATGGCAGGTCTGTCCCTACACTTCTTTGTTTTTCTAACAATCTTTTCTTCGTTCCTTAGTCCACTGTTTTCACCCCCTCATTGGATTTCTTGAGGATGGACAGCAGTCTCTCTGGCATGAAGTATGGTCTGTCTGCTGTGCCATCATTGCGCTCGAGATCCTCCACTGTTGGAATAATTTGGGTTGAGACAAAAAAACAGCATAATCTTAATAGGAAACGTGTGCCAAAAAGTATAAATGCCAACAATTGAAGCAGAGCCTTGAAAGCAAAAAAAGGCTTGAGATCTCAACAAAGAGAGAGTTCAGTTTATTAAAGCACTGGGAAATCACATTACCAACATGCAAAGATTGAGAAAAGTGAAGCACAGAGGTAGAAAAAGAGGCAACAGAGTGGCAAACAGCGACAAATATCAGGCATTGAAAAGGTTGCAATCTGTCGATACAATAACCAGTCAAAGCAGACCAAAATATAAGGGTGTTAAATTTTTTTCTTTCTTTGATTGTTTTGTTTTTAAGTTGACTTGCTTTCGATACCATTTTTATTAATTTTTTTGTTAATCTGCACCATAAAATTATCACATTAGGCATAAAATTAACACAATTTTCAGATACATTTGCACAAATTCTTACAAAATGACATTGTTTGGTCTTGGCTGGTATCACTGTAAACAGATGTGTTTTGTTGTTGTTGTTGTTGCTGTAAACATAGCGATACTGCAAAATCTTTTTGCATTATTCAACATGATTAAGACATTGATAAGTAACAATAATTGGGCACAAGTCAAGCACCTACATTACACTTTTATATGTCCTTACATTAAAACGTTCTACATAAAACACAAACACAGTCACATTCTACAAGTGCTATGTAGGCATATCTAATGGGGTTTAGGTCCACGTAACCAATTGTCAATGAAACAGCTCATAGTTTGAGAACAAGCCTGTTTCTGTCCTACTTTGTGTCATGCCATCCATTACAACCAGTGATTATTTATTAAGAGACAGTTCTCAAAATTGATTGATTGAGTAAACATTATGATGTGAATGAAGGTGGTACTTTCCAGTGTATACTAATGGCTTATCAAAGCCGCCAAAGTGCACCATTTCCCAAATCAGTAGGCTTCTCTGAAACGTTTCACGAATCCACCTTCAATGAGCTACTCCTGAGGGGTGAGCAGGGTCTCGCTCTCTTGAGGTCCGTTTTCTTGAGGCTTCGGCTCCTCTGGTTCCTGTTCTTGTTGGTTCTCGGCCTGTGGTGGTCCTGCTTGAGGTTGGGCCACCTGCTCCTCCTTGTCCTCAGCGTCCACCTCTTGGGGTCCGTTTTGTTTTGGGGTCACTTGTGGCGGTTCAGGCTCTTGCGTTGTAACCTGCTCTTCGGGTTTCTCCTCGTCGGCTGCGGGTGCCTCTGGAGGTTGTGTTTCTTGGGGCGGCTCTTCAATGTGCGTTTCCTGGTTTAGTGGCGTCTCTTCTTCTTGCTCCAGCTTCAGAATGTCCTGCTGTTTAAGCTGCACCTCTCCATTCTCCTGCAGCGGGACTTCCTCCTCAGCTTGCACCTGTATGACAGGTACCTCGGCACGGTCCGTCTCCTCTGCACTTTTTTCGATTGACAAAATCTGGTGCAGCTCAGCGGACATGAAAAACGGTTTGCCGGAAGAACCGTCATTTCTCTCCAGATCTTCGCCTTGAGTTTGTGTTTGCGAGTGACGGTTATTTTGAAATGTTAGTGTTTTGAGAGAGCACGTAGCAGAAAGGAGCACAAGGACATGATTGGACAAAATCATGTTGAAGAGAGAAAAAGAGAGAGAGAGAGAGAAAGAAAGGAAATGGTTAGACATGAAGCAAGCCAAAAGCCCCTGTAAGCATCTGTGATATGCAGATATGTCAACAGTGGGTCCCACAAGTAAAAATCCCAGTTATTTTCTCCATACAGAAACATACCTTAAAAGTCAAATTGTGAGCTCTGAGAAAGCAATGATATGTGGCTTCTGTAGAAGCCATAAATGTGATTTAAAAAAACGTGCTTAATAGCCAACTGAGAATTACATAACCTATGATCCTGAAAAAAGCTCCACCAATCAGAGAAGTCGCTGTTACCATGGAAATGGGAATGAGCAGTGATTGCCCACTCCTATGAAGCATTGTGGAAGACAAAATCAGTTCTCACTACACTCTCAAAAAACTGATGTATGGTATATATGGTTATATCATGGTATGGTAGTCAAATTGTGAGCTCTGAGAAAGCAATGATATGTGCTTCTGTAGAAGCCATAAATGTGATTTAAAAAAACGTGCTTAGCCAACTGAGAATTACATAACCTATGATCCTGAAAAAAGCTCCACCAATCAGAGAAGTCGCTGTTACCATGGAAATGGGAATGAGCAGTGATTGCCCACTCCTATGAAGCATTGTGGAAGACAAAATCAGTTCTCACTACACTCTCAAAAAACTGATGTATGGTATATATGGTTATATCATGGTATGGTATTATCATGGTATGGTATATAACTTATATGTATGGTATATATTTGTATATGGTCTGGTATATAACATATATGTATTTTATATTTGTAGATCATTTCATATTATACTGTCTTTTCTGAATCAATTGCATCTTTTGCAAAGCTTCGTGGGATGAATAGTTCATTACCTCATACACAAACTGAAAAAAGCACAAGACTTCATGTTTTTGCTTGGAATTAAAGTTTGTAATATTGCAATGTGTCTCAGAGCTGGTTGGTTTGGTTCAAGGTTTGGAAATCTTTATTGATTTTTAAAAAATTAATATAGAGAAAATGAAGGGGAAATCCAGTTGGTGGTCACTGTTGCTCTCTATTGCATTACAGAAAATAACAACATTTAAAGGAAAGGAAAGAGGGCGGTTTGAGTGCTGCAAATGTGCTTAGCTGTTGAAGTTGAGTGGTAAAAGTTGAACATCTGTGAAACTTATTCCTCAACACCCAATAAAATCTAACACAACAGCTGCTGTTATCAGAATCCTTGTTTTGTTACTCAGCCAACAAATGAACAACTTGTTAAGATTTGTTCATTACATATTTTCTCATGAAATAAATAAAGCTGCTTCACACTTACAGAAACAGAGGAAGAGTGTGTCCACACACATAGCGTATACGCTAAAAAAGCCATGAGCAATCAGATAGGCACCAAACACCACAGTCTGTAAATGAAGAGAGATGTAATTATTACAATCTGGAAAATTGATACTGCAGATGGAAAATCTGGTTTTGCTGGATTGATAAAACTCAAGATTGCTCACCAATATAGGCACCCAGTAATAATTAAGGGATGGAGCAGCATCCTCCACTATTTTAATCTTGCCCGTGAAAAAGAAGAAAGAACAAATCCCTGAAAAGAGGAAGAAGAAACAGTTAGTGCATGCTGTTTTACATTGGTGAGCTGGAAAGTGAGAAGTCAGTTCCACTCAAATAACCTCTGGATTCACTTGACATCTGATTGACCAAATCACTCACCCACAATTCCAACGACGAGGAGTTTGCCCAAAAATAAGAGGAAGTCTGTCACTTTGTCAAGAACCGCCACACTAGAAAACAAGTTAAGTAAAAACATTTCAATTTGGACTGTTTATTGTGTTTATTCACACAAAACACTGACTAAAAGATTTAGATTAAAGGGATAGTTCACCAAAAAATGAAAATTTGATGTTTATCTGCTTACACCCAGGGCATCCAAGATTTTTTTTAAATTTAACAAGATTTTTAATTCAAACCGTTGCAGTCTGTCAGTCATATAATGGAAGTGAATGGGAATCACGGCTTTGAGAGTCAAAAAAACATACACAAACAAAACCAAATTAAACCCTGCGGCTCGTGACTATACATTGATGTGTAAAGACACGAAATGATCGGTCTGTGCAAGAAACTGAACAGTATTTATATCGGTTTTTACCTCTGATTCACCGCAATGTCTGAACTGTCCTGAGCTCATCCTGAGCGTGTTCAACAGCGGGCGCGTGCGTCTTCTTCTTCTTGCTTTACGGCAGATCGCAGACTTATAAGTGCATTACCGCCACCTATCTCTCAAATGGACCACTGACACTCTATCTACATCTATCTCAGTTAGGAGTGTCAATGGCCGTGATTCCCATTCACTTCCATTATATAACTGACAGACTGCAACGGTTTGAGTTAAAAATCTTCGTTTGTGTTCTACTGAAGAAACAAAGTCACATTTTCATTTTTGGGTGAACTATCCCTTTAAGTTTAACACTCACCGGACAATGTTCCTCATCAGGAGGAAGAAGGCATCCTTGGCAGACGTACAGAAATTTTTACCATATATTGCCACCTGAAAAGAGAATATGCCTCAATAAGTTTCAGCAATTATGTTTTTGAGCACTACAACACTAAACACGCACTAATGATGCTCCCTAGCCAGCAACAATCCACAGAAGGTCAAACCATTATCAAGAGGGAAATGAAAATGTACCATAATATAGGCGTTTCTGTTCAGAAACTTGATGCATTTCTCCAGACACCAGAAGCAGCACTTTAGGCAGCTGAGCAGGAATTTTGCACA